ATAATATGCATTTACCAATATAGTACACATTTTGCACACGAACATTATTATTCATACATTGCGTATAGCCTGTTATCTTCGTTTGATGTTTTTTGCTGCTCCAATATTTTAATTGTATTTTGTTACGTATCTTAGTCATATCTTGAGATACTGCTGGATCAATTTGATTATATAAAAAGTATTTTTTAAATAGTTTCGCTGCATCAAGTGCTTAATTGATACTTGGTAGAGAGACAGGATCGTCTTCTTCAACAACGTACACAGCTGCAGTTCTTATCTATTTCGGCAACTTAGAAAGTACCTACTGCTTAATGATTTATAATGCCGCATTGTTGTAGTTAAATAGAGTAAGGGTGACGCTTTATAGAGTGTAATATTGTATAGAAAACAATGTAAACCAACCAGAGTCAAGCAATTTCGACGTGTTAAGGAGTTTGTCGTTAAATCGAGTGACGTTATAAAGGAGTTTACACTGTATTTAGTTGAATTACTTTAAAGCAATAAAATTTATATTTAAAAATAAAACTGGTCAAATGCGAATGGGGTTTCCACACTGAGCTAAAAACCCTAAAAAGTTTAATCAACTTATTGATCGATAACTAATGATTAAATTTCAATTCGTTATAAATTTCTATCTCGAACGTTAACAAAGTCTGTAATTCTTCAGATTTGACTATTTAAAATTGCAATGCTTTCTGGATTAGAATAATGGACAGGTTCAAGGATGATCTCCTAACGCCAATGCTTTTATTGTAAAAGTACAAGAACCATAAAAATATTTCCTTTCAGGGTAAACATGTTGGAGTAACAGAAGATTACCATATAACGGAAAGATGGAGAGGAGTTGAACAACCATTAGATTCAAAAGCCTATATTCTGGACATATGGAATGCCTGGGGTACAGCTCAGACAGAAGTAAGTTTCAATGTTTTCTAGTTAAAACAATCGCAGAACAATCAATAGGACACATTTATGAAACCAAATATCCAATAAATTTATTCGAGAATGTTTAATTAATTCCATTTATCATCGCAAATTACTAGATCTTATTGTCAATAGAAGTTGTAAACATACTTATTTTTTAATAAATAATATTATACTTAAACACCCTTATTTTTGAACTTACTTATCCCCAAAATAACGTAATTAGATTTTTTGTTTCGCCACTGTCTTCGTATCTTTCTCAGCAATTGATTTCGATCCTTTCTTCTCATTGTTAAAAATCTCAAAATATTTCCTGAGTCAACAAAATGGATTCGTTTGTGCAAGATGGCATTCATTCAAAAATAAATCGCAAATTCTATGCATAATTAGTTAAAGGAATAATATAAACACTTCCAGTTTATTTATACATTTAAATTGTTAAATTTATTTAAAAATGAAACTGACTAATTGTAAAAATCACACAAACATACCATCTTGCACAACCGGGTCCATTTTATTGATTAAATATGCAACAACTATTGAGCGAAAATAAAGGGTTGAAATAAATTTCTGAGGAAGTTACAGAGTGGAGAAACTTTCAATGAAATTTTGAAGTTTTTTTATTATTCAATCAATTCAAATCCCTACGGTTCAATTTTGGAAATTGTTTCGTCATGGACACAAACAATATAGCTTTCTTTTAATAAGGAGTTTCATAGGCAATATGTCTTAACAGTCACTTTAGTTAATGTTCCTAATATTCGTTTTTATTTTAGATTAAAATATCGTTAAGAAGAGTAAAAGATGAACGATTCTTATCACGTCGTAAACGATGGAGATCAGATTCGAGTAACTGGTCCGATCGAAGTGCCTATAAAACAGTCCATCCGAAGAGGCTACACGCCTTACAAAATGAAAAACATCCCTCTAGTACTGAGCAACTTTTAAAATTAGTTTTAGCGCAAGGCGAAGTAATACGAAAGCAACTTAAAAAATTAAGGTAAAGTTTTTGTCAATTTTTCACTCATATAATAAAATGGAAAATATCTAAGTGATTTTTCTGTTTAATTATCTTAGGCACAGCGAACATCAAATTGGGTTTCTCGAAGAAAAAGCTCATAAAGCAAGGGCAAGAAAACATGGTAGTAATTACCTTCTGGAAACTTACTTGAAAGGACTTTCGGAGGCAGTACATCCAACGTTAGAGGAAATCCCGTGTGTTGACAAAAATAGCGACAGTGGTGTAATGACCGAAGGAGATAGCGAACAATCACAACATAATAAACAGTCGTCAAACAAAGAGGTAATCAGTTACCTAATTGGTCATCACTTTTCATGACTTGATCTATTTAATGAAACGTTTCCTTACGAAATTGTAAATAACTGCAATACTAATATTGTCAATAGTCGGCCATTTTTATTGCTCCACTATGACGTAGTGTCGGCCATCATTCATTTCTAATTGTTGCTGTTGTCGGCCATCATTCTTTTCTAATTGTTGTCGCATTGTCACTGATGTCGGCCATTATGGTTTTTTAATAGATATATAGTAATCAATGATTAAAATTTAAAGAAATTGTTTGAAAATAGGTATGAAACATATCGTACTAATAATTAATAATTTTGCCTTATCCTTTCTTTGTCATTAACTACTCAATTTTTTTTAGAACGAGAGATTTTCACCGTCTTCTGACGAATTACAAAAAGATATCAAAGACGATGAAGATTCAAGTTCGACCACGAGCGAAGCCACAGTAAGAGAACAGGCAATCCTTTTGGAAAAAGTTACAAAAATCAACAAACGTCTTCTACGTGAAGAAGAGAACCTCGTGAGGCTACACGCGAATTTTCGCAAACTCCACAAAATGAAGAAAGATAACACTGAAGAATTAAACAAGCAACTAACTGTGTTACGCACAGACATGACCAAGAGTGCGTGCGAAATGCAGCACAATGAAATCGTAATGGAAGAAACGATGGAAAAGCTGATGAAAAGAAAGACCTGTTTGGAAAGTCTTCATAGAGACTTAATAAACGAAGACCAGGAATTCGAAATGCTTCAAGCTTTGCTTTATAGCAAAACGCATAGACTATCCAAAACACCGTACTTCGTACAATGTAACCAATCAATCAATACCAAAGAAGTGTTAGATACCTTAGTATAGCGTTTTTATTTTTAGTTTTTATATATGTTTATTATATTCATACCAAATTTTGAGTACCTTACATAAACAATATTATTAACCTCACCCCTTCTAAGATATTTCCATGACGAGATGTGATCAAGGTGTTATTTTTATACGACAATAATAAAATATTACATGTTAACATTAACATTTTTCATTTTAATATCTCAATTAGATACAAAATTAACTAATTTACAACCCCACAGTCGCAAAACTAAAATAACAACTATTGTCATAAAATAGTTTTATTGTGCCTAATCATTAGTAACTTTACGCTAGATACCTTTCTTCAGTCTTTTTTATTTATCAAATGTACAATGCAATCAGTACCAGAAAGTTTATCCATGTTGCAATAGGTACATGCATCACGGTCCAAAAAGATGTGTTAAACATATTTAACCACCTAAGTCAAATAAATAATGTATAGCAATGAAAATGGATGCAGCTATATGCATTTAAAATAATAATCGTCTATTTAATAAATGTTGTTCTTTTATTTCTAGTACCTTAGGTACCTATATATAGGTGTCTCCACGCAAAATGGAGATTCAATGTATGTGTAGTAATACCTATACAATGTTTGTACCATCAGTACTACTAAATAAATCGACCATTTTTATGCTGCTTTCTACCAATCTTTACAACAGGTAATTGTGTTTAAATAGATTTGCAACAGGTCCTGACATGTTATATATCTATATATTACAATATTACCAAGTACAAAAATTACCCATACCTGCAATTTCCTGTGCGTTAGTTGCATTTCTATTACAATACGATAATCGGAAAATCGAGAAAAAGTTATCACATTTCACCATTCACTACACCACCATCAATAATACTTTTTACATCCGACCACGAAAACCACGACTCTTCTAACATCAAAACGTAACAAATTGAAACTATTCAATTCGAAACCACGTGCATCTCAGCAGCCAATCAAATTATTCAGAGATTTATGGAAATTTGATATTTTTCAGCAGCAGGAGCCACCTAGCGTTAAATATAGTTTACCCGACCATTTTTAGAAAGATGATAGCTATATAGTATTCTGTTTAGGTTTGAAGTATTTAATAAGCATACATAACCTGACATAAGTAAGTTGTTTGTTGGGTTGTGATCATGTAATAGTTTTATTTTTTATTGTTTCATGTATTAAACATATTAATATGTCACCTATAGAAACAACGAAGCCTAATCTTATTAACAAAGATGCCAACTTGTCTTTTGTCGTGGAGTTAAGTGAACAGATTTCAACAATTGCATTCTCCAATTCTGAGTTGTCCCAAGATCTTATTTTAATCGCTTTTCCAAGGGAAATATCAGTAGCACAATTAGACTCACAAGTAAATGCTTATATAAAGTAATGTAGATTGCACAAAATGCATTTTTAGGAACCGTATGAATTGAAGGAGTTAATTAAATTTAATCATGGAGTACAATGTACAGCTCTTTCATTATCACCAATCACAACGATTTATGGAGTACCAAAAATTCTTGTCTTTTGTGCAGCCGGGAATGATTTTAAGCTAAGGATATTTGAGAGTGACATTTCACAGAAAGATACAACCAAGGTAAAACTTAGTTGTAATTGGTTATATATATCTAATTGAAGAAATTATTGCTTTAGGTCATAAATGCCCATTCAGATTACATTAATGATGTTGCTTTTGATCCAGACAATAATTATTTGGTGTCAGCAAGTGATGACAACACTGCAAAATTATGGAGTACAGAAGATTACCATTGCCTTTACACATTTAAACTAAAATCTCCAGGTATGTTTGTCATACATTCATTCCTATGTATAGAATCACATTCTTCATCAAATTAAAGGAATTTCCTGTTGTTGGCATAAAGATGACAATTCTAAATTAATGTTGGCTGAAAAAATGGGAGTTATTCGTTTCTATAATGTTAACACTCAAAAACCTATTCTGTCAGTTGACTATAATAAACCGATTGCAGCAGCCCATTGGGCCCCCTCAGATCCGCAAATTGTAGGCTGTCTTCAACATGGCGAACTTGTAATATGGGATTTAACAAGAGCTAGGTATAATTTATACTTTACAGATACTTTATAACTTTTCAAGGGATGCAATTTCTCTTCTTTATTCCCTTTTCTCTATCATTTTTTCTGTTCATCCCTTCCCAGCCACTTATTCGCCTTTTTATCTTAGTTTACCTTTGTTCATCTTTTTCAAAAATGTTGTCTATTTCTCTCCCTCTAGCTATTTTGTCCCCATTTTTGCATTATCTAAAGAAACAACAAAGTTACTATTGAAAAATAAGAGGAAAATTATCAACAGATAAATAGCAAATGATTGGATCAAAAATTTAAATATGAATATTTTTTTCTATTTAATCTAAAATAATGTCATCTTTTTTAACTGCAATTTTCCTCTTTTTATAATTTAATTCAGCTATTATTGTATTTTTTATGGGGGTGGCATTCCTATAATACAATCTTGTTTTGTTTTTAGTCGACCTTTATACACTAAACTTTTATTTGCGGATTCTGGGAACAGCATAAAATTCAGTCCATTTGGTGAATTAGTGGCGACAATGAGTCAGCTTGAAGGGACATTAAAAGTAACTAATGTTCAGAGTCAACATCAGCGTTTATCAGCTCAGATTTCACTTGCGAGTAATATATCTTGGCACTTTAGACTGCCTTTTGTATGTGTAGGAGTTGATAATAATTTAATGTTCTGGAAAGTAACTTAAAACTTGTATGTTTATGTTCCAACTTTTTCTTTACTTTAATAAATAATGCATTTCTTATTAGATACTTGTTTTAATCGATAAATTATGCATTTTTTTAATGATGTCATTTCTAAATAAAATAAATACATCGACTGGTATATGGTCGTTAGTGTTATCAAGTGAAAAGTACAAGCATCTACATGTTCAAAGAAATCGAAAACATTGAAAAAGGTCATCGTGACAATCCACATGACTAAACGTACGATGATATTTTGGGTAAAATTGTTGCTCGTCTACCGTATGTGATTCCCCGTCGATGCAATATCTTTTTTACTTACTATTAGGTAAAAAAGTGACACAATCGATCGAATTGGACATTACTAATAAGCACTAATAACACTTTAATAAATAATATAAATGGCAGTTACAGTGAGCCTTGATCAGTCAAATTTTAAAAAGAAATGACAGGCTAAAGTTTTTTTAATATTCTTTTTGGATTTTAAGCAAATTATATAATGAAAAAAGGTTGTAACGTCGACACGGTAAGAATAATTAACCATAACTGATTAAAGAACATTAAAAAATGCTATATAAATTTCCAGGGTGAGCTAAAAACAGTTGCACCAGATCCACGATGGCCTCAACAAAATCAAACTTACGCATGTTTCACAATGTTTACAGACTACCACAGATGCATTAGACTATTAAGTGAAAAGTAACCTTGACTAATTAATCAAAACGAAATGTACTTTTCTAATAATAATTGTAGGCACGATACTTGTGAATATTTTCGATATTGCTATGAACGATTGTGCCCTAATGCGTGGGTAGACAAATGGTGTGAGCAACTACAAGAAAACACATTTCCATTCCCACTCCCCAAGCCTTGCAACAAGAAGAAAAAGTGATTTTTTAAAAATGTTTATACCCTATTAAACAATCAGTGGTAAGATATTTAAAACATAATGTATACATGAACATATAATAAATTGTTAAAAGTATCTTGTCTGCAAACGTTTGAAGTTTTTTTAACGTTTTTATTTTTACCTATTTTTCAGTTTTTTAAAAAAAATTCGAGGTGGTTAGAGTCTCATAATTTATTAAAAATGAGTCGTATTCTACGCATCTAGACTTAAAAAAATATTTTCATAATTTTACTCCTATTGTTTTTTATAGCGCTTTAAAACTGTATCATATGAAACATTTATACATTTTCAAATGTACTAAATTTCNTTTTCCTAAATTAAAAAGTATTTAGCTGCACTATGAATACAAATAAGATATTTAGGGTGGATTTATTATGTTTGCCCCTTTTTGGCATTTAAGAGAAATTGGAAAGCGTTGACGAAGCTTTATTAACAAAAATATTACATTATATTATCAGTACAAAATTAATATTTTATACATGCTATTTACAATCATTTACACTTTAATATGGATAAATTATACTTTATGGCATGATTTTGTACTAAATGTCGAATATAAAAAAACACGAGCATTTACAGTATAATTAAAGGGCTTAAAAAAAGTAATTAAAAATATACACAAGGATACAGATAATTACTTAGAACTCTGGAACATCATTTCCATGTGTCAAGAGCAATGACTGTAAGGACATTCTTTATCTCTGCATACACCAAAAAGGTCATAAGGACATAATGCTTTTAGAGGATCTACTTTTTCCCTAAAATACTATTATTTATAAAACCTCATTAAATTCTCCTACAATTGTTACCTATCATAACTCCCAAGTGGGGACACATAATCATTAAACTGTTTGTCGTCGCCTTCCTGTTCAATAAAAATTTTTTCGATATCATTTGGATCCAATATATTAATATTTGCTAAACATTTACTTATGTGCACATCGCTGTTATTATCTAATTGATTTTCTTCATGTTTTGTATTAGCTTCAAAATCGATACAATTTTGCGGATGTTCTAAATTACTTGGATTGATTAAATCTTTTTTATTATTTGATTCGGAAGACGTTTGACTAAGCAGCACGTCCTTATTTGTATCGATGTTTACATTTTCTGTGGTAACATTCGATACTGTGCCGTCATCACAAGTATTTACGTCGTTTTTTCCTTTAATAGGAGTAGATGTGCACATTTCTACTTTGGTTTTAGTGAAAGGTTTAGTTTCGCTTATAAAACTAAAAAATTGAAACATTATATAAAATACGCAATAGGCATAGGCGTTCAGTGTCCCATGATGACCTAAGAGAAAACATATTGAAAAAGTTTGCACAAAGTTTTGTTATCAACATTGAATAATATGTTTAAATTTGAAAAAATAAGGCATGTATATCTCCAATTTTTACAATATTTAGTTGTTTAAGAACATTTAACAGTTCCAGCATTCAATAATTAATTTCAAATAAGCGAGTAGGAAATCATTTCAGTGTAAAAAAGTAGGTTGAGAGGTAGATCGCAATTATAAAACGCCAGAATGGAAAAAGCAGTCAGGAATAATAAACAAGGAATAGCACAGGGTTAAGTCGCTTTTAATATAAAAATAATCTTTTGTGCACCCAAATTGTTAATTTAAAAATTCTAAAGATTGTTAAAAATGAATATTTCATTGAAAGACAGTGGAAATTAATAACTTTATGCAAACTTTTAAGTTTTAAAGCTTCCTTGGTTACTTTTTTAAACATAAGACCGTCATGGGATACCCGTATGTATATAAACACTAACCCTTTGTCCAAAGATTCTTTACTGATGACCAATTGTTGGACGAGGGAAATAAAATATTGATGGGAATTAGCTAGTTTCGCTCGAGCTTCTTGTAACTCAGACAATAATCGTTTAATTTCCCCTTCATTTTGACGTCTTTCGTTACTTGCCTGGTTAATTTTTCGCAGCAGTGGTACCAATAATTGGTACTTACCTTTCATCTGTAACCTACGGAAAATCTTACAGCAACTTGTGCAGCCCACTTTACGGCAATGGATTAATGCATATTTAGAATTTAATTTAACTTCATTAAAGAAGGCTTGAAAATATCTGTACTTCCCTAATTTTCATAAAAAGAAAATTGAATATAAAATACTCACCTCCCATTTTGCTGCACTTGTATATCGTCAAGTATTTTCTTCAAATTAGTGACGGCTTCCAACGCCTTTTCTTCAGTGATGACAGATTGTTTGGGAGCCAGCTTTGTTTTTGAATATTTTTGGTAATTATTGAATTTTAAATTTAATGGAAGTGGTTTCGATATTTGTGTGACATTTGCAAAGCCTAGTTTTGGATCATTTTGTTTAAAAGGCTGCATTTTCACTGCTTTTTTTATTTTAATTTTTCTTTTAGCATTCAATAACTGTTGCTTAAGTTTCTGATATTCAATTTGTTGAGATTTAGGCAGAAGTTTTAAAGCTGATCTGTTCAACAGAAGCTTATTTAGAGATTTATCTATAGTTTCTCTGTTATCATTCTTCTTTAAAAATATATTACTATTAATCAAAGGGTTTAATTTTCCATTTCTTGTTGCAGCCTTTGAAACTTGTTCTGATGCATTTGGCTTGTTTATCACATTTTTGTCTTTATTCTCTAAGTCTACCTTTTTACTATCAGTTGTTGTTGTAATTTTAGCCTCTACCTCAGCTCTTTGCTTTTTAAGAAACATTTCAACAGTTTCTTTCAAATTATTATTTGTTGCTTGACTTTCAAACTCATCATCATCAGAATCTGAACCATTTACCTTAATAATTATGGGTTTAACTTCAATATTACTGGATTTTTTTTCCCATTTGTGAGATTTCCCTCTATACTGTATCTTTTTAGTGGGAATTACTTTTACAGGTTTATTTACTGAATTTAAATCATTCTTGCTCAGTGGTTTACTACTAACTGTTTTTATTGCAATTCTAGTATTGATTTTACTTAATGACTGCTGTTTAACAGTGTGTTCAACTTCCTGTGATGGAAAAATTTGTGAAGAAAGCATCTGAGAAGGAACAGTTGTTTCTCCCTTAGATATCACATTTGTATTTTTACTTGTAATCTTCCTTGACATAGAAGCCAGAAGCATAGCCCTCAGTATATCTGCATCTTCTTCTAATACATTTTTTTCATGTGATTTATCTTTGAAATTTTCTGTGATAGAATTTTGAGAATTAATTTCCACTTTTTTTACATCAATATCTACTTTTACTCTATTTTCTTCATAATTTTCAATTAACTCGTTTTTTGAAAAACTGGTAGATTCTTTTGTGGGACAAGTAACAATTGGATTTGACTCATTAAGTACCTTTTCAGATTCACTACATTTTCTTGGTTTTGTAGATGAATCTTTGGAATTAAAACTATTTTCCTTATCAATTTCATCAAATTCTGCTACATCATCTGGAACAGCAAGCGTTTCTTGACTTGAAATTTTCTTTTCATGTTCTATTACTTTTCTTTTCTTTCTTTCTCGACTTTTTTTAATAACTGCAGATTTTAAAGCCTCTAATCTTAAATTAATCAGTTCACTATCTTCAGCAGCATCTGAATTATGTGCACTATCTCTATTCTCACTGTTGCTTTCAGAATCGTCTGCTTCATTTATAATAATTACTGAGTCAGAATCACTTTTAAAATCTTTTTCTATCACTGAATTAAGGTCATTTCTTATCTCATTTTCTAAGTTGTTTCTTGTTAATTTTCTGTCTGCAGCTTCTGTGTTTCTTGATAAAAGGGCAATTTCTCGCAGTGCCTCTAAGTCTTCATCACTTGAAGGCTGTTCAATATTTTCATACAACATAGTTTTTAAACGAGTACGTAAACTATTGTGTAAAAGTTCCTCTTGACTTTCCCTTCTTAACGCTTTATTTAACAAAATTCGTTTTCTTTCTAGCCTAATTCACAGAAATCAAATATGTTAATATAAAAAAATATTTCATTATTAAACATTATCTGGCAAACTTTATGACATTATTTTCATATACTTTATATGGGATTTGCAAATTTACCTTTCATCTTCACGGTCAGAGTGATAATCAACATAAGCTTTCGACCTTCTCGAATGAGATCGAGTTTGCCTTTTTCGCTTATGATTACAATGGGGGCTTTTGCTATGACGCCTTCTTTTCGTTGCACACCGATTATAAACAGGGATAAGGCGAACTTCATCATCACTAACACTGCTTAAAGAAACTGCAGGTAAGAACTCTGGAGGAGCAAGTAACTTACCAGGGGGTAAAGGTGAGTCAATGGGTGATATAGACATCGAGCAGTCCGACACATCTTCGAATTCATCTTCAACAATTTCTCCTTCTTCACGATCTTCTAAACAATTTGCATCTACTTCTTTTTCCATACTCACTAGTTTGCACTAAATGATTTCTCACATTTTTCAAAATACCTTTTACGCCATGAACGAGGTTCTCGATTGACATAAAAATGACAGCTGATAAGCAATTATCATCTATAGAGCTGCAGTTAACAGGTTAACATATAATAGGTAGCGTTCTACTTAAAAATTCTAACATATTTTTAGATAACATTTTAATGAACTACCTAATAGAATAAACTGATACAATTTAGGTTGGATTAGGCAGTTTTAATAAAAAAAATATAAATTATGCAATAGTCGCCAATGATGTTTAACATGAAACATCGGTAACGGGCAAAATAATTTCACGTACTGTTTAAGACTAAGGCAACCAGGTCGAACGGTTGACGGCTGAGTAGGACCAACTGAGTAGCTCATTCCTTCTCTACTTCCACTTACTTCCACAATAAAACGTTACACATCAAAAGGTAGCTAAAAGTATTATAATTAAAATCAAGCATACTTTTTTCTTATTTTTTATTACTTGAGATAAACATAATTTATAGTACAGTTTCTTACTGAAAATAAATAAAATACATAATTCAAAACGGACAATTACGGGATATTTTAATACTTTATGTTATGTCCTTCGGCCGTAATAAGTTTGATTTGATCTCTGAACTTTAACAGAACCTTAAAAAATGAAAATTAATAAAAATTTTTAATATAAATACCCCTCACAAACCTTGACTAGGTAAATTATTTTGGTAGTTCTTTTCAGTTTGCTCGTCTGAAATTGGAATACAGTCAGATTTCAAAACTTCCTCTATATTTCCGTAACCGTTGAACTGCACGACGCATGTTTTATCAGTTAAATTTGTTACAACTGCGTTGTAGTACTTAAAAAAGTAAATTCAAAAGTAATTAATAGCAGAAGTTAATCAAAGAAATACAGCAAGAAATTCAAATAAATTATTCTGGATTTGGCGTTCGACTATTTCTGATTTTGATTAAATTCGGCATAAACCTAAGTTTATATAACAATTCAATTAGCGATTTTTTAGATTTTTTAATTCTGCGACTTCGCCTGTCGAGACAGAACTGTACAGCTTTAGACAGAAGTAGTGAAGTAAACCACCAAGCATCTAAAGAATACAACAAAAAAATTGATCAACATCTATTCAGTAGTTTTTGCGTAATGCGCGCATATTAACTACCTAGCTATTCTTTTATTTATACAAATATCAATTCGTCATCTACCAAAAATTAAAAATTTTTACAGCCCATCGTCATATTTCTCATAATCCATCTATAAATTTTGTCTTGGTTTTTCGGTCTATTATGAAAATTAAAATCTGTAATATATATTCTTACATTCGTTGGTCGAACGCCAAATTTCGTTTTCATTTAGAAGAACTTAAATGATACTTACTTTTCGATCCTCCCAATATTTTGCCATACACTTGTCTCCTACTTTCCATTCCCACTGACCCTGGCTTTGTTTATTTCGTATATTATTTACTGGTTCTTGATTAAACATGTTCAGATGCTGTTTCAAACTGCGTGTAGCATATTGACCATTCAAAGACATTCTTTCAATTTTCGCCGCTAAATTATTTTCCGAACTACTTGCAACAACATTTTTCTTATTATTTTGAGATGAATGATAATTTGTTCGGGATGATTGTGAATTATTCTGATAAGCTGAAGTGTTATGCGAACTTTTTTCTTGGATTAAATTGTCATTAGAAGAGGATTCAGGTTTATTTTGTACAATTTTATCATTTCTGTACCACTCTTGTTCGATTTTGTATGGAAATTCAACATTTCTTGCAGATTGTTGGGTGGAACCCTGCTGCCTAGATTGTCCTTTATATTCATTATTAATAACGCAATTACTTTGTTGTTGAAATCTAGGTGGTCTTTGATTTGAATTAAACTTGTTGTATGAGGGAGTTTTATTTGAAGAATAAGCATTGTTTTCATTTGCCCTCAAATTAATATTGATGTTATTAACATTAGATTGAGAAATGTTATTGCCTTTTTCGTTTGCTGGCAACTTGTTTTCTAGAAAATCAAAAAGAGAAATTTTTTCAGGTGGTTTACTTTGAAGCTTCTCATCCTTATCCTTATTGTCCCTGTCTTTTCTTCCTCTTGGTCCTCGCTCTTTGTCATGATCTCTATTCCGACCTTCAAATTTGTTTTCCCTTTTCTGATGTGTTTGTTCATTTTTATTAAGATTGCTGCCTTTAATGCCTCCACCAAACACTTTCCTAACTGCACCTGTAGCTAGTTCTGCAATAGTGCCTTGACGTTGCTCTTCAAACTCCTTTGATGCTTCCTTAGTTGTTTTACTGGCAAGGGATTTAAATCCAGTATTTGAATCCGTATAATTTAATTTTTCTCCAAAATTCACCCAAGGAGGTGGCCCATCGACATTGCCTATTTAATTAAAAAGGAAAATTAAAGTGCCAAATGCATTCTTAAGTAAATTAGAAATTAGTCAGAAACAACAAAAGACAAATAATAATTAATAAGTGAAATGTCTAGATAATTGTATAGCTATTACTTGATCTTCGTTCATTGTCAATGTTCTTTGTGATTTCCCATTTTTCATGTAAAGCTGGAACAATGCCTCCCAAAACAGTACAGTTATTGCTCTCTAATATGATACATCCTGATGAAACTTTAGCACCATTTACTAGAAGCTTTGTGCCAGGAGGGGTATTCTTATGAGATAATTTTGGTATTTCTTTTATTTCAACAGCTTGACATGTTGTATGGCCATCTGTTAAAATTAACCTGAGCATTCGAGGAGCTGCTTGGGAATCCTGATTTGCTTTGGGGGCTGACACATTACGAATTTTTTGTATTTGCAAAACCACCTTTAAATAATTTAAAGTTTATTAGAACAATGTCTATCAAATGGAAAATCTTATTTACTTTATTTATTTTATCACTTTTTAGCTCATTTCCTAATGTTGCACTTCCAATGTCCTTCAAGTCAGTCTGAAATGAAACTATTTAGGACACATCTATTTGAAGGAAACTTACAAGTTTTACATTTAAAGCTCTTCCTAGAATAGCACTCAAATCAGAAACGGAACCATTCTCAGTAATCGAAGATAAGCCCTTAGGTGATAAACACCTAATAATCAATGAAAAATAGTAAAAAATTTATAGTAAACGAAATAACCTAAATTTATACATACCACCCTTTAGTGTGTAAGAGTTCAGGTGTCACCATAATGATAAATTCTTGTTTAATGATTTAATATTAAATAATAGTTTTAATAAAGTACATATATATTTTCTTAAAATTTTATATATCTTAAATATAACCTCAATTACAACCAATAAGACAATTTCAATAACAAGTTATTTTTCTCGTTATTTTGTCACATTTCTGAACATCACAGTGCCCGTGACTGGTATCTGTANCTTTCAACTTAGTTACATTATTTGCCTTTATGGACTACGAAAATTAAGAAACAAGGGCAATTTTTTATGTTATTTCTTATAGATACAATTACAACAAACTGTTATGTTTTAGTTTTTAATTTTTTTATTGAGTAGGTGGTTAGACTGTAGAGGAAAGAAAACATTCTTCTCAATAAGATTAAAGTAAAAAAAAAAACAATTACAGAAACTAAACATTATGTGTAGCGTCACTTATTTGAACTTTAGATATATGTTTTGCCAAAAGCAATTGCTTTATGACGATAACACATTCAACTCTTTCAAATCAAATCAACCGCGAATATAACAAAGCGCTTTTAGGCAATAAATAAGAAGCGACATTAAATATTACGAGAATATTTGATGTTAGTGCCTTGAAAAGTTAAAACTGATTGAGTTTAGAATATATTATATTTTCTTTAGCCAAAACTACTATTTTATTAATTGTTTAAAGGTTTTTTGCTTTCATACTATTCATTTAAAACTTAATTTATAATTTGCCCTCCTCAAAATATTATAATAAAAATTAAAGCCATAATAAAGATAAAAGCACATCTATTATTTTAGGTGTTGCTCAAATTAGTCTCTGTTTTTATTGTTTAAAGTTTACATCACTATTATAACTAGCTGAAAACGTTAGTTATTTACTTTAATTTCTTACCATTATTTGTAAAAACCGCAAATAATTTTATTGGAACATTATTCATAATAAGTATGTATGTACAACTTAAAAATTAAAGAATTTATTTACATTTCAAAACTACTTATGCCATATCTAAGAGTCGATTGAGGGAGACTGGTAACCAGGACGAGTTATTTTGTGAGTAAAAGAGAACACTTCTGTCTATATAACACTGAACACCACTAGAACCCACCCTGTACACTTGCTTGGCTTCATGAAACTTGTTTGGAATTGGCACAAACAGAATCCCTCTTTCTTCGCAACGTTTTGCCATGAGATCCCTAAAACCTTGAGGAATTTGCGACGCTGTTCTAACAGCCTCTGCAAAATTCTGCAACAAATAAATCAACAGTGTGAAGCCCTAAACATTGTAAAAATAATATTGTCAGTACCCAAGAAAGGTACACATTAAATATATTTAAATACTTACTTCAATTCTAGGAGGTGGAGGGGGTGGTGGAAGTTGTGTACCTTCAATGTTTCTAAGGTAAGACACAGATTCCTTAGCACCTGGCTGTTGCCCAGTACTTACTGCCCTGTTCATCATTTCCAAAGCTTTATGGAAGCTTTCTGAATAAAAGTATAATAAATTTAGGATTGGGTATATTATTATTTACTCATAATTGCAAAAAATAACCACTTAATAAATACATAAAAAAGTAAATTGAAATACATATTAGATAATATAATTTTTATCCTTGCAGGAATCAATTAATTTAGTTATACAATGTAATATGATTCCTTATAAAGTATGTAAATTTATCTTAGTTCTTATGTAATTTTGTACGCATCTACGTACGTACCTATTGGTAATATTTACCTGCATGTTTTACTAAGAAATAAATTTACCATCACACTTTAAATTAGTGAGAATTAGTTAAAAAGTGACTTTAAAATAAAAGATACCTTTAATCGTTGGTTGCGTTAATAGTTCTTCAGATAACATCCGTTTCCAACCAGAATACCACTCTGTGACTTGATTAAAATCAGGATTATGATTTAACCAAAGTGATAAAGTTTGTAACCACTTTGGAAAGAAATACTTGTCCAAAATTAGGGTCATGTTGGCAAGAGAGAGCATATCTGCCCAGTCCATTACCCAATTCCAAGCATCTGAAGCAAATATTGATTTTTATAAAATGTTTCAAAAGTTAGTTAACACTAAACGTCTACTAGTTTATTTTCCACGAGTTGAAATTAATAAATTATATTACCTAGATGCTGTTGGTGCGGATTGATAATGAACGACTGCATGCAAAGCTGCAGTTTAGGAACGATATGTTTGATAAGGAACGCAATAAATAAACCTTCAGGTAACGCGTCCTTCCAAGGTTTAAGCATGAGTTTCGCTGATCGGTCTGAAGGGTGCCAGCTGGTCAAGGCAGTCCCCAACTTCTCTTGGATCACCGGATATATTGTATTATGTAAACGGGTATCTACATATCAGAAAATAAGAGTATTTAATAAAAAAAAAAATGATATGTGTATTATTTACGCGCGTAGGAAGTTATACCTCTTTTTTTCTCAACGTGCCAAAAGAAGTATAACTTCAAAAAACGTGTCAATTATTAATATTTACCAAGTAGAGGAATCCAAGGGTGTATCCAAAAATGTATGGGAACTGTATCAGTTAATGGGTTCCAACTATTTACTTCTGTACTTAATCTGGGTAGGATTAGCTGTTCAAGAATATTCTGCATCAACCAGTGAGGAAGAAGAGAAGACCAGTCCTCCAGAAGACTAATCATTGGGTCACAATCTCTAGGATTCCACTCACTGAAAGTAATCATTAAATTAAAAAGACTTGAAAATAATAAGACATTTAAGCCTATGAGATAATTCCTTTAATGATTATTTATTTTTCTATTTATTCACTACACAATTAATAAGAGGCGACAGAAAAAATTCTAGGAAATACCTAAAACTTTTAATAATGAAAGTCAGTAAAATGATGTTTATAAAATAAAACAAGTTTTTAAGAACATATATGGTTAGTGAATATTTTTACTATTTCTTCATAAACAGTTTGATAAAACATAATATCTATTACAGTTTAATATATATATGTAAACTTATAATTTTTTATGAAATGGGGGAATCCAAGTGCATATATAACAAACTGAACAGAATGAACACCTCCTTAAAGGGATTTTAGCAAATAAAACTTACCTAACACATGTTCTCATAACTGGCAGCCAAGTGTGCCACAAGAGATTATCATATGGCTGAAGACCCTTACTATTACCTTCAAGTGTCCCACGCTGGCGTTTTGGCATCTCCAAAATGCCTTTCCATTGTGTGAATATGTCCATGAACATCTTTGGAGAGTTCAAAGGCTGCCAACTAGCTAATGCCGACGTAATCAGAGGACCCACAAGACCTGGGGCTAACTCACCCAAATTAAAACTGCAGTACTCCTCGAAGTGATTTGCCTGAATCAACAACAAAAAAATTAAAACAAATATTATCATTAAATCTAAATAGTAGTAGGTATCTGTACATATTTATACATATGTATTTTGCTGTACTTTTCCAGTTATTCCACTTTTTGGCGCATTAAGAGTAAAATTTTAGCATGCAACGAAAGTTCGACAAGCGGCTATGGACTAGCCCCAGAAAATAGAAACATCACTAAACGGTGATACTATTTCAATACAAGGTTGAAAACAATGTCCAAATTGAAATATAACTTCTTTTATGAATATTATTAAGATCTTAATTAATTAAAATAAGTTACCTGTAAGTCTCGAAAAGCTTGAGCAAACTGTGTGACTGGTATCTGTACTGATATATTTCCTCAGAGAATGATCACTATGATCACGTCCATAGACCGGTGGAAAGCAATTAAAAAAGTAAAACTTTCACGTTAAGGGCGAAAATCGAATCTTTTAATAATTATAAAGATAAGACAAAATTATTTACATTAAATAGAATTTTCCACCAATTATTAGTTTTCAAATTCGTAATTTTCTTTGTACATCTAGAAAAAGGCGCTTCAATTTTGTTAATTATTAATTTTATACATGTACATATATGAAGATTTCCTAAAAATTAGGAAGTGTTTTAAACTATAGACTTTTTAAAAATAATTAAGCGGGAAAAATATCTAATTCAATTTAATTTACTTTATGAATACCAGTGGGTGAAGAATACACAGAATAACAGGTTCCTTTTTATCACCCGTTATTAGACAAATCGCTATTTTTAGGGGATGACCACAGGGCCATCAACGTTTAACTTCCCACTTACAATGCTTATTTTTAACGTTTTATCTTATTTANGAAACATCACTAAACGGTGATACTATTTCAATACAAGGTTGAAAACAATGTCCAAATTGAAATATAACTTCTTTTATGAATATTATTAAGATCTTAATTAATTAAAATAAGTTACCTGTAAGTCTCGAAAAGCTTGAGCAAACTGTCCTAATGACAATCCTAAAGATGGGTCAATAAGCTTATCAACTTGATCTAGGACACGTTTCAGATCTTTTAGTTGCTTGTCTTCATGCTCCAAGGTGGTTTTCAAAGATGCTTCCTCCTGTTTTAATGCAATTATTTCATCTTGATTATACCTTGTCATTTTGTCAATTTTAATAATGTCCTGGAACATATTATTATAATTAGTCTATATATTAAAAGAAGATACTAATTTAAAGATTCAATCTTATTTTGTTTAAAGAGGGGGTAATAAATGATAAAAAGGGATAATTACGTTTAAAAACACCCTTATACTTTTTTAGAGAAAACAAAAAGGTAAAAAGAATCAGGTAATTTTTTAAAAAAAGAAAAAAGGAAAAATGAGGAAGTTACATAGTTAAAAATTTATATACCTGTTCACATATATCTACTAATATGTCCAAATTGTGTTGAATTTCAGGTAGACTAAAGTTAGAACATTTCTTGTGAACAACATCTTCATAGTGTTCAACTCCAGGAGGAGCTTTTAGACCACTAAGAGCATGATAGCCACTGAGTACTCTTTGCTGTGGACCTGTCATGTCAATCACTTTTACTTTGCTGAGTTCACTGTAAAGAGGTGATTTGTTATAAAAACATAATTTCTGTATGAAAATATAAATTATTACAATCGCTCTCATCCTACCTTAAAGTATTGGAATTGGTAAATGTTCCTGGCTTTTTACCTTTCTCAATAACATCATCAACGGTTCTATAATAATACCTCGATTTCTTCTTTGTCATATCATCTTTTCTCCATTTTGATTCACCTTGCCTTTCTTCAGTTTTCTTTTCACTTCTATTACTGCTGTCAATCTGTAAGTAAAAAAATGCCAATGATGAAAGAAAAAATCGTTACCTTACCATATTCAATTTAAATTATATTAGAATAACATACTTTTGGTGTTGGTATGCTAGCAGCCTTTTCTGGACCATATGCACCAATGGCACCTCTTCCTTTCCTTAAATGTGCTTCAACAGGTGCTGAAATACCTTGAAGATCTTTACCCAAACCTTTTCCAGGTTGATATCCCATCTGAAGCAGTAACTTGGCTCCTATTCCTTTTGTATGTTTTTCCCAGTGTCCAACCCCAGTTCTTATTAACTCCGTATTTTTATGTATGTTCTTCTTCCTTAATCCAGCTATATCTCCTGTTATTTCAGTAACAACTGATTGAATGCTGTTTCTCATTCCAAACCCTACAAAAAGGTTATGTAATTATACATATAACATTTTCAGTACATTCAGAATTTAAAATAGAATATAACCAGTACCTTTATATGAAATCTCATTTTCTTCAGATTCACTAGAACTATTTCTGAGTGGGACTCCTGAACCTTCATCGTTGCTTTCATCACTTTCTTCTTTTTTTATATCTTGCTCTTTCTCTTTTTTCTTACCTGCTTGCTGAATTCCTCCAGCAACAAACCCAATCGGGGCACTATAATTTTTTGGTGTTTTATTAGATTTAAACGATGGTCTATCATTTTCTTCTTGATCACTATCATCTGCCCAAATACCTTTGGAGAATAATGTATATAATAAAATTACTTTGGAATAATCATGAATACAAATATTTACACTATTAAAGAATTCTTACCGTAAATTTTCTGGTGTTTACTTAAAACACGTCGTCTTCTATTTGGATTAAATTCATTTTCAATATCATAATCGGTAATTTCAAATTTTTCGTACTCTTCATCAGACATCTTTTATACAAGTGTTTATTTTATCTGTACCCAAGCTTATATAAACTAAAAACTTAATAATACATACAAACTTTTTTGAAATACCTATTAATAATTTCACATTTCACATACGAACATTATACGAAAATAATTAACACAACAAACGTCAACCACATGTCAACAGTAAATCGCCATTTTAATATTGTGCCACTTTAAGTTACATTCTATTCATCTCAATACATAAAAATGTATGGAATAACTTAAGGAAGTATCACTTTAGGTTCATATGATATATTGGGCTTTTTAAAATATAAATTGAAGTTATAAATGATTATTTGAACCACTAATTGTCTTAAACTGACAAAATGGTAGATTTTATTTGTAATGATAGAACGCACAAGTAGTCTTCCTGTTGGAAACGTTTCTAGAAGTACCTTTTTACAGAGCAATTGGTCCTGCCCGAAGGACCCATATCCGCGGTACAACTCAACTATAATCCTTGTTTTTATTAGATCAAAATCTGTTACCAAAACTAAATTATACCAGCTTTGATTCTAACTTTTTAACCGATTGTAATATACTGCGGGCAAAAAAAAACACCCAAAATTTATTGAAATGTAATAAAAATTGCTTTAGGACTCTCGGTCTTATCAAAAGACCCCAAAATTCTGAAAAGACATAATTTGTAAAGGACTCAACTGAGCTATTTTCATCTTGCTGGAAGGATACTGTATATTATTAAATACTAAGATATAGTTGAACTTTACGTAAAATTCCGTAATAGAAAATTTAATTTTAATATAGTCGCTCATTCAATCTGTTGCATAAGTCATGTCATACTTAGCAAAAAAGAATTTTCAAGACATATGAAATATTATATAAGGTGTAATAAAAGCCATGAATGTCTAAATGACAATGTTGTACATGTTTATACTTTTGCAGTTTTATGAATACAGAGTACAGCAGTAACAAAAATGTCTCACAAAAGGCACTTATTGTTAGTAAAATAGAATAGTATCTTCACAACATCAGATTTCTCTTTTAATGAGCTCTTTATGATACAGTATCATTCGTTTTCACGTTTTTGACTCTTACGATTAGTAAGGTAGATGCTTTTACAATACATTTTTATGTAGATACATATATCATCACGGAGTTACTGAATGTATAAAAATATTATTTTTTTAGTTTTTTAGGATGAAATACATTGTTAATACTTAATACAAACTGAAAACATTACAATTAAAGGTTGTTACTTGGAAAAAGAATCAAAACGATTAATGTTAGTTTTACTGCGGGAATGATATTTACAATGTCAAGCTGTCTTGTTGAAACCGTTCTTCCTGTAATCGTTTTTGAACGAAAGCTACTTAATGAAACTTTTTCTTAGAATTAACTGAATTCGTATTGTTTGTAGAAGAAATAAAATTTAACTTAACACGTTAGATAGCAAGTTACTAACTTACAATGAGGTTGTAAAAGTCGGCCAATAATTACTTACGATATTGGCACTTCATATATAGAATTATAAAAGAACCAATTATACCTTCTGAAAGATCAAAAAATGATTAGAAAAGGTTAATTAATACCATTAATTTCTTATTAATTTTTTAAGTTTTTCGATGTCTTTGGAAAATGTTAGCACACCAAAATTCTTATGGAAATAATTTTGGTTAACAGTAATTTATTTTTTATCTTAGAATAATTAATTAGATTAGTTTTGAAGTAATTTTTATTATAAATTACTGGCATTAGCTTTCAGTACTAAGAAAAGTTTATTTGATAGTTACTAAAATTGTTCCCTTGCTGACAATAAATAAACACAACTTCTTTGTAAAGACTTAGTTTTAAAAGGGAAATGTGAACGTTTTCGTGTGGATAGGTATTTTTTATCCCGTGCACTGTCCACTCTTGCCCTAATTTCTTCGATTGAAATCGCGTGCACATAAAGGGAAAAGGGTGGCATTCTATTTCCTACTCTCGTTTAAATTATGAAAAGGTCAAGAAATTATGAAGCAGGTTATTCGCCTTCTAATAAAAGCCTGTTAATATTTTTGCAACAAGCTCGTTAGTAGTTAACGAGGATCCTAGTCACAATTTTTTATTTTTAAATACTTATATGTATATACTGTTTTGTAACTATTGCAAATGAATTTGACTTGCGATTGCGATCAATACCAGAAGATCACAATCGCAATCATAAATTTTTTATAATGATTTTAATGCTGCTTAGGTATATATATAAACTAAAATAACCGTCTTATTGAAATTACAACATAAAATTTTTTTAATTATACAGTACGACATATATTTGTACATCTATATCTATATCATACAATAAAATAAATGTTTGTCTATCTGTTTGTCCGTCGGTACAGAGGCTAATCATCAAAAGGGCTAAATCGATTTTGATGATTTTTCAGATCTGATGAGGAGACCGTCATACATACAACGAAATTATTCTTTGTCACAACTCGAAATGAAGTTAATTTCTGTATCTTTCCTTTTATTACTGCCTATCTGAAACAATTACCGAATTATTTATATATTATTTAAAATATTTCCTCCTCAAATACTTGATTTATATTCTTTTTGTACGCGTATGTATCGTAGTATTTAATCTTAAGTTACAAGGTAGATGAATTTATAGATATGTCGAAATTTCTTTTAAATTAATATCCTGTCCCTTTTTGTATGAAGAATCGAATCAGAGATTTATTCAAAGAATCGAATCGCGGAGTTTTAGGTCAACTCTGAATAACCAACAGTGTACATGACGTGATTATGAAGGATCGACGCAGTAGGCCAAAGGATCGTATATATGACACATAATTTGAATATCATTCATAAAACCCTTATACATATGTATGTGAATTTCCTTATTCGTCCATATCTCAAATAGATAGACCTATTGAAACGATCTCGAACAGGATGAGAACGATTTTTAGAACTTTTAATAGGGACGCATATCTAATAGATAATAAACAACAACTATATCGAAATAAGAAATTAAGACGACTTATCCCAATACAATCTTAATTACCAATTTCCGTTAGGTAATAGGTTTTTTGTTATACTTATTAAATTATTATTGCTCGTGTTGGTTTTTTCTTTTTTCTATGGTAGAATTATCCGGCACTCGACCGCTTCCGAAAAAAAAAATACCGAATCCAAACCGGGTATCCGACTCACTCCTTATTTAAACTCAAATATCTTGCTGAAAATCAATTAATATTTGTTTGATAAAATTGCATTAATTATGTTTGAAGCAAAAGCGTTCAAGTGTTAACGGTAAGAATTATAATTATCCTTTGGGAATCGTAGGTACGTGTAGCCTGGGATCACATACACATACGAAAAGGATAAGTAACAAGATGTAATAGAGTGTTTATTCCGAGCTCTTCCAGGTATATTAGAGCCGAAGTTTGCTTTATTAGAGAGGGTGATTTAAATTATCAACGACGCCGAGGTCGATGGCGACGACGGCGCTATAGCGGCCCGACGCTGATAACGGCTCTATAGTAGCGATAGCGACGTTGGTTGCGCGTCGGAATTTTTAGTCGGTTTTGGCAGCAGACGCCGAGAGACGCCAGTTATTACCGTATGTAAGCTCGCCAACACGTGTACGAATTTTTATATAGGCACAATCTTTTATTCGTGATATCTCACTGTTTATATGTTCAACCCCGAACTTTTACCAAAAAACAACTGCAAATAATAATAAATAAAATAAGACACTTTAATCACGTGATAAAAAAACTGATATTTCTTAGAGAAAAGTAGCGTGTACTTCAACCGTTTGTTTTTGAACGCGTTACAAGTTAGACAACACAAACTTTTTCAAAAAGTAGTAAAAGTAGTTCGTGTGAGGCAGTATTTTTGTAAATTGTACCCCTGGATAAAATACGGAGAAAGTCACGGGCTATCGCCGCAAAACGCGGCAGAAAAGTAAAGGTAAGTTTCAAATTAAGGATATATTAAAACAGAATCAGAATATACAAAAAGAATAAAAATAGAAAAATAATTTGTGATAGATTTTATTTATACAATTGTTGCACATTATTTTCATCAATTTAAGCATTGGATTTATAAAATATAATTAATTATGGAGCGATGACACCAAGAGGTATGCAAAATTATGATTTAGTACCTATAACAATTTAAACTAAATAGCTTATTACTTACAAGACAACGCATCTAATTTTATCTAATTAAAAAAAACAATGTTCACAATAAATAATAGAAAAATATTACCTTTANCATTATTTGCCTTTATGGACTACGAAAATTAAGAAACAAGGGCAATTTTTTATGTTATTTCTTATAGATACAATTACAACAAACTGTTATGTTTTAGTTTTTAATTTTTTTATTGAGTAGGTGGTTAGACTGTAGAGGAAAGAAAACATTCTTCTCAATAAGATTAAAGTAAAAAAAAAAACAATTACAGAAACTAAACATTATGTGTAGCGTCACTTATTTGAACTTTAGATATATGTTTTGCCAAAAGCAATTGCTTTATGACGATAACACATTCAACTCTTTCAAATCAAATCAACCGCGAATATAACAAAGCTCTTTTAGGCAATAAATAAGAAGCGACATTAAATATTACGAGAATATTTGATGTTAGTGCCTTGAAAAGTTAAAACTGATTGAGTTTAGAATATATTATATTTTCTTTAGCCAAAACTACTATTTTATTAATTGTTTAAAGGTTTTTTGCTTTCATACTATTCATTTAAAACTTAATTTATAATTTGCCCTCCTCAAAATATTATAATAAAAATTAAAGCCATAATAAAGATAAAAGCACATCTATTATTTTAGGTGTTGCTCAAATTAGTCTCTGTTTTTATTGTTTAAAGTTTACATCACCATAAACACTTGCTGAAAACGTTAGTTATTTACTTTAATTTCTTACCAATTATTTCCCAATTTATTCAGTTTATTTCCATCAATTTACGATAGAGCAATAAAAGAAATCGTAAAAATAACGGCAGCTGTAAGCAGGCAAAATATTATTGGTATTTAGATGAAAAGCTTTAATAGACGCACGCATATTACTATCTATATAATATATTGAAGTGTGACTTTTATATGAACAGAATTTAAATATTTTCCTCGACATATTTATTTTCATATTTTGTATGCATACTGACACTAATCACAAAATGCAGAGTCCTTTTCTAA